GTTTGAGCCTGCTTTGTCAGAGGTCGAGGACTTGGACAATGAGGAAGAGGAGGATTTGGCTCTGAGGTTTGAGCCTGCTTTGTTAGAGGATTTGGAGTTGTCTTCCTCCCCAGGACTTTCCTCTTCGGCAAGGCCTTCCTCCCTGATTGTGCCTCAGGTGTCGGCAGATAACCAGGAGAGCGTATCAGAGTCTCTGACTGAAGATCAAGCTGAGGAATGCTGGCTTGATGCGAGGCAACGGCGCAGGAAGAAGTGCAAGTTGCAACGCAGAAAGAAAGGACGAATCAGAGACTGAGATGAGGGACTGACACGCCCCACAGGGAATAAAAGTGGGTGTGTTCGTTCTGAGAACTTGTTCGGGACGTGTTAATTTAGTGAGAGAAGCTTCAAGTATCCTGTGTGCGCTGACGACTTGTGATTTATGTTCCTGCTTTATTGTCGGACTTGGCAGACAGCTTGTGTGAGACTGCCAAGAACCTTATCGGCTTAAGGAATTTAACCCTGAAATTACTGGACTTGCTTGCTTGTTTGTTTTCAGTTGGGAATTTGGACTTCTCACCTCGTTGGTACAGGTGAGACATAACAATTCCATAATTTAAGGATTTCATTTTCAGAACTGTGCTGGCATTTGCCATCCTTTCTATATTCTCAAGCATTTCACGCAGGTCACAGAATTTATTTTTCCACGTGGAGATTTCTTGGAATTCCAATTTCCAGATTTTCTAAATTTAACCAGTGTAAGAGGAAAGATTAAGTTCTTCAAATTTGGCTTTATCTGGAGAAGTAAGAAAACACAGAGTTGTTTCCATCTTGTGGAACTGTAAAAACCTGTTACTAAAATTCACCTTTGCAGCTGCTACAATGCTAGAAAATTCCTTGTAGGTTTCCTGATGGCTTGTAGGATTGTCTGCAAATGTTGCAGAATTTTCTAAATGCATTTTTAGATTTGGAAAATATTTCAGCTGCCCACTTTCAAGGTCTCTTTCAAAAACCTGCAGTTTTCTCTCAAATGTTTTGATATCACAAAACATCCTTTCTGCTGTTTTCCCTAAACCTTGCAGTTGTTTGTTCAGTGCACTGAAGCGTACTGTAAAATCAGTAAAAAAAACATGAGGTTGGTAAGCCAGGCCATATCAGTGAGCTGTGGATATTCCTGCCCTTTTTCATTCATAAACAGCCTGATTTCATCCAAGCAGGCTACAAATCTCTCCAGGACTCGTCCTCTGCTCAGCCACCAGACATTATTATACATCAGTAAACAATTATACTGTGCCTGAACCTCCTCAAGAAGTGCTTTAAACTGACGAAAATTCAGAGCATGAGCCATGATGTAATTCACTATTTTTGTGATATCTTTGAGTACATCTTCAATTTTTTTGCTGCTTTTCCTGGCACAAAGAGCTTCATGATGTATAATACAATGAAACTGAATGACTTCATGCTTTGTTTATTGTACAAACAACTGTATGAAACCAGATGTTGCCCCCACCATAGAAGGTGCCCCATCACTGGTAATTGAAACCACTTTTTCTGGTTTTATGTCTTGTGACAAAAAAGCCTCCATCACAGCATTGTAGATATCTATTCCTTGTGTTCTTTGAGGCAAAGACACCAGTTTCACCAGCTCTTCTCTCATGATGTCACCAACAGCATAACGGAAAATTACTGCTAGCCTTGCATGATTATTTACATCTGTGCTTTCATCCAAACACATGGAGTAACAGGCTGCCTTTTGTAAGTCAGTGGTGAGCAGCTAACTAACATCACTTGCCATGCACTGGACTCTGTCTTTAAGAGTATTTCTGCTAAGTGGCACCTCAGAGATACGTTTAATAATTTTATCCCTGTTTGGGAAATCACGAAAAAGGGAATTACTGCCAGACAACATGGCCATTTTGATAATATCCCCATGCAAGAGGGGCTTACCATGTTTTGCTATGCCCAGTGAAATTTGAAAACTGGCAACTGTCAGATGATTTGTTCTGGAACGGAAGTTGGAAAAAATAAGAGTCTGGGAGTGATAATTCTTCAATTTCCCTTCAATAAACTGTTTTCTTTCAGTTGCACCAAGTTCAGCAACACTTTTGTGGTTGGTCTCAAAGTGCCATATGACACTTGATGTGTGACACACAACACTTTCATTACATAGAATACATAACGTTTTCCCACTGCGTCCAATCACTCCAAATAACTCTGTCCAGGCCTCTTGGAATGATCTTCCACTACCTGTTTTTGCTTTTTTTGCTGCACTCATTTTTGGGTATTCAAGACTGTCTTAGAGTCTACAAAAACACAAAATTCTGGAATTAAAGCTCCATTTTTTAAGCTAAAACTTAATTAACACCTGTTAGTTTTACTTTAAAAAAATAGCTTTGAGTAGTTTGAATGATTGACAGTGTGAGCCTCCAAAGGTCTGAAAAATATATCATTGATTTTTCTTTGGCATTTAAACTAGATATCCAATGTAAAAAAAGTGCATCAAGGAGGGACTGGAAAGCCAGTTCATACTGAACTGTACTGGGTTTTTTGTTGTTATTTGAATAAAATGAAAAGAAAGCAATCCACTATTCGTACCTAGGATAGGGAAAGAGATGAAATCTATTTAAGTGTAGAGAATGCCCCATTTCATCTCTTTTTCCACACTACGTACAAATACCGGATTGATTTTTTTCATTTTATTCAAATAACAACAAGAAGAGACCCCCTCTTCCCTTTCAGGTGGGGTAAAATGAGGAGGGGACTCTTGTTTAGATAACCCCCCTTTCCCATAATAAGCAACATCTCATCTCTCCCTCTCTTTCTATCTCTCTCTGTCTCTTTCCCTTTCTCTCTTTCTATCTCTTTTTCTCTTTCTCCCTTTTTTTCATCTCCCTTTCTCCCTCTTGCTCTCTCTTGCTTTCTCTCTCTTTCATCTTTCTCCCTTTCTCCCCCTCTCTCTTTCTCTCCCTTTCTCCCTCTCTTTCTTTCTCTCTCTGTCTCTCTCCCTCTTTCTTTTTCATCTCTCTTTCTCCCTCTTTCTTTCTCTCTCTCTCTCTCTCCCAGTTCTCTGGCTATACGCACTGTTGCCTGGAGATGAACTGAGGAGGGAGGAGGGCAAAGCCCTCCCCACATGGCTCCTGAACTGACACCTGTGACAGAGGGAGACCAAGAGAAGGAAGCCAAGCTTTGAATTATCACGGGCATTAAAGTACCCGGCAGCGGCGCTTCCTTAGCCCAGATTGCCAGGTGAGAGAAAAGACATCAGGCTCCGCCCCCACAAAGGGGAACAGCAGCGATCGCAGACAGCCCTGGCTGGCTGGGAAGGGGGACCCTCCTCCTATTTCCCCAACTTTCCCCCCAGCTGCTGCCTCCTCGCTTTTCCCCTCGGCCGCAGGGCTAGCCAATCGCCGTGAGAATGCGGCTCCTCCTGTACACGGAGAAGAGGCACTGAGAGACGAAGCGGGAGGGCAGAAGGGACTTTCAGAGGGTAAAGGGGATTAAATCGCAACCTTTCTCTGCACTCAAGGGGAGGTGCTTCAGGTGATTGTGGCTTTCTCTCCTGCTTAGAAATAGAAGTCCTGCTGATCGGGATTTATTTTTTTTTTGTCTCAGAGCTAAGCTAAATGAGAACTTTAAACAAGACATGGGTGCGACTGGGCAGGGATGGGCGGGGCCAACCAGGGCAGGGGTGATTTTTATCCTGCAGTCTGCCTAGCAGCCTCCCTAGCAAACCCACGTTATGGCTGCTGTCTCTTGCCTCCGTGCGTTGAGGAGGCTGAGCAGCAGCGGGAAAAGCATGGAACTCCTGAGCCACAGGAAGCGGCTGCCAGCGATGCCCTCAGATGCCGAAGATGTTGCGAGGGGGAGGCTCAACCCCACCCCTCAGGAGCCACAAAGCGCTTGCCGCCCCTCTGGTCTTCGCCAAGCCTCCTCCTTCCTGCTGGGAGTGCGAGCGCTTCTGGTGAGGAGGAAGAGAAGCAGGGTGGGAGGAGGCTTAGCAAGTGCCAGAGAGGAGGCGAGTGCTTTGCAACTTCTGAGGGGGGGAGAGTGCAGGAGATTGTGCCCTTCCCTCGCCGGCCAGGGAACACCTGGGAAGGGCTCCCATGCCGCAATCTCCCACGCAGTACCCTCCTTCCCTGTTTATCACTCCTGTTGCCAACACAGGTGTGCTGCGGACCGGCCTTTCCTGGTGGCGGCGGCAGCAAGAGCGGGCCAGGGACGCAGGGATACTCCTCTCCTCTCTGCTAGAATTGCGTTCTGGGCAGCATCCAGCCATCCATCCAGCCCTCCCCCCAGCCCATGTGGATCCTGGGCCTTTCCTGTGGCATCATTAAAAGCCCCCGGGGGCGCAAGGCAGGCAGACACAGGAAAGCAACTGGCGGCAGCACTCCTGACTGGCAAGGGGGCAGATGTCCTGGGGCTGTATGCAGGCACTGATGGCACTGACAGTAAGCGGGCCAGGAGCGGGAGCAGCTGGGCCTGGGCTGCAGCAAGCAAGCGAGTGACGGTAACAAAGTCAACAACTTATCAAAATTTATGCAGGACATAGCAGTCAAGCGAGGAGTCAGGGCAAGCAAGCAAGCAGTGACGACAATGACAAGCAAGGAGCGGGAACCAGAGAGCAGCCAAAGAACCATTAGGTTCTGGAGGCGGGAGAAGCAGATAGGGTGCAGAGGGGTGAACCAGTGGGGCAAAAAGTTAAACAGTTTGGCTGGATTTTTTTTGCAAATGGGATGGGGGAGAACAGTGTGATCTACAGACCCAAAAATCAGCTGGGAGGCACGCGTGCGTGGTGGAGCTGAGTTGGGCCGACAGCTTGCATGCCCACACATGCCATAGGTTCGCCATCACGGATCTAGACTTATTAAACAAACAGTAACCCAAAAAGAAAAGTTTTGCATTTGGATATGTACATATTTTTGAAACATGTTTCCAGTAGACTAAGTTTCCATCTCAGAAATAGCACAACAGAGCATAATGAAATCATTATGTTTCTCACTGTGCAAGCAGATTTGTTTTACCTTGGGTTAGGAGCTGGTCCAGGAGGAAAAGGAGAGATTCCACTCGGCATTCCTGGCATATAGGAAGCTGGGTACAAAAGCAATTTTGCAAACATTATCAGTCTGAAATAACTTTACATATTAAAATATTATTTTTATAGTGCAGAAACTTTTGTAGTAGTAGATAATAGGCTAACAGTTTGGAGAAGGCCATTTTTTTTAATCAAATAAGATTTTAATAACATAAGACTTAAGAATTTATTTGTCATTACACTCGCTAGCGGGTGCAACGAAATGAGGTGCTCTTCCACAAAGTAAACTGGACAAACACCACTAAAAGAAAAAAATTGAACTAAACACAACCAACCATACAATAATCTCTATGCAATTTAAAAATGTAAATACCCCATTACTCTCAGCCATTTAAATTCCACAAAAATCTTATGACCCTGCATTCAAACTCAAAACTGCACTTGGATAAAAACTGTTCTTAAATCTGGTCGTCCTTGTTCTTAATACCCTAAATCTCCTTCTCGATGGTAATATACAAACAAAGCCTTACTGAACAAAGTAAGGACTTGCTAGAAGCAGTCCAGAAATAAAACCCAATTCCTGGAACCCATTAATTCCTGGCTGAATGCCACAATAAAAGTTGATAGGGAAAATAACTATTATAATCAAACCACCTCATATTTTAAAATATTCCGTTTGTGAATATTTATAAAAACAAATGCTTCGAATGTTTATGACACATTCTATAGTAGTAATAGACAATATGATGCCCTCTGAGAACCCTCTGGCATCCCTATGACCTTATTTTCAGGTTCAGTTAATAAAAGCAGGATGCTTGATGATGTCAAATACCAGTTTCTAGCACCATCTTTATTTATATGAATGTATCTGCCTAAAGAAATTGAGAAAATAAAAATGATGTGCGGTTGCAGTTTGATGTGTTACTTGAAAATATGTCCTTCTATCCAGAAAAAAAAGGGTCAAAGGACAAGTAGGATAGATAGATATTATCTTGGCAGAGTGGAATGAATGAAATGCAGCAGCTACACTACTGCTTTCTGGGTAACAGTTATTTTATGAATAGCTACCTCCAGTTAGGGAGCTGTTTTCTGTAGTTTTGTCCACATTTTAAAAATCGCAAACATCTACCAGGCCTAAAAGCTCATTCTTGGCCTATAGCACAAAACCTAGAGCCATGATGGCAAAGCTATGGCATGCGTGCCACAGGTGACACACAGACCCATTTGTGCGGGCACGCAAGCCCCAGCCAAACTTATCTGCACTGCACATGCGCGTGCCTCCTAGCTGATTTTTGGCCTGTTTGAGGCCGTTTTCGCCCTACCGGAGGCTCGAGGGAAGCCTCTGCAGCTTTGGGAGGCCGAAAAACAGGCTTTCCGGAAATACCGGAAGTGCCAAAACGGGCCTGTTTTTCGGCCTCCCGAGGCTGGCAGAGGCTTCCCTCGAACCTCTAGGAGGGCGAAAACAGCCTCCAACAGGCTGAAAATCAACTGGGAGGCACGCATATGCGCAGTGCAGGTAAGGAGGCGGGACAGGGATGTTGCATATGTATACACAGGGGGGCAGGGCACATTGCATTGTGGGTGCTGGCAAGCATGCATTTTCAGCACACAACAACAAAAAGGTTCGCCATCACTGACCTAGAGTATACAAGCAAAAATCTGGCAATACAATGAAGTTCCTTTTAATTTTTTCCACTGCATTTCTTAAAATCCACTTTAATATATGAGAAGTGACAATGTTGATCTTGGGGGGAAAAATGAAATTTAATGTATTAAGTTTAAATAATATCTCCCATATGCCAATTTAACCTACTTAAACTGTATTTTAATCCTTTTTTGTTATAGTTTGTTACTTCATCAACTCTTGTTTTATTTAACATCTAACCTGAATAAATTTCTGGAAAATTTCAAAGCTTGGTCATTAATGTGCAATATTCCTACAATTTGTAAAACTTTACATTTGTATTCAAAGTCCTTCATTAACTAGAAGATGTTAAACTAGTGGATAATAAATGCTTGACTGACATCTACTGGCAGAGATACAGTAATCAATTCATTATGAAGGTGCTTGGCAGTGCATCTTGAAGATTTTACTGCTGAGGGATCTAATAAGAATAGATTTCTACTGTATGTAACACAGAACCGTATTTTCCTATGGCAATTAATTTTTATAAAATTAGTAAGCATACAATATATTATGAAAATCAATACGTAGCCTACAGTATAAATTACAATAAAATTACTAACTAATTTTACTAATTTATAAAAAAGACATGGAACTCACACACTTTGGACATATGACATAAGTGGATCATATGGAAAAAATATTCTTGGCCAAATTGAAAGAATCAGAAAAAAATGAAGACACTGGATAAATTAAGGAGGAGCATCCACAGCAATGTTCATTGGCTTCAAAATATCAGGCACAACCTCACACTTTTTGTAATGTATGTTCAAGAAAATGAAAACCACCATTATTATACGAAAACTGTAACTGATTGAGAAATCCTGTTTATCTCATATGTATTCCTTCCATAGGAAAAAAAATACTGTAAATTTAACAAGCCGTTTAAAATATTTCAGTGGAGTAAATATAAGCAATTTTCCCAAAAAATTCAGGTAGTCCTCAACTTGGCAGGTTCACTTAACAACCCTGTTACTAATTTAACAACTGCAGTTAACAAATGTGGCAAGAAAAGTCCTAAAATAGGACAAAATAACTTAACTAATGTTTCACTTAGTAACATAACTTTTGGGCTTAATTGTGGTTAATTGAGGACTACCTGTATTTAAAATTGATGTAACAATAATTTTCACTACATTAGTTCTCCACAAAATTAGATAGTTCAGTTACCTACCAGTATTAATATTGGTTTTCATTTGGTTAATGACACAAAAATAACCTTACCAAATCAACATATTTTCCTGGGATAATAACCCCCCCAAATATTTAAAAGATTATAGACAAGAGATAATGTTTACCTGTATCCAGCAAGAATTTCTTACTAATTCATTTAATACTTGACTTATTTCATTTTACTACATACAAAGAATATTTAACCTGTAGTTCTATCATTTGCAAAAGATTAGAATACTAATTATTCATTAAAGAACTTTTGCTGAAAGTCTAAATTTCCGTGTTACTTGCATCAAAAACTTAATTAGCACTATATCTAGGGATTTTTCTCCATCCTATTAAACTAAAATTGATCATTCAAGTTTATGAAGATATAAAACTAGTATCAGCCAAAAAATCTAATGTTATTTGAGGGATGACACCCTTTTATATAATCAATTTGTATGGGATAGATTATTGTAAATAATACCTTCTATAATCTTCTCACTAATGTAGCTGTTAAAATCTTAGCTCATGGTTTGATTGAGATATCAGCCAAATATGTGTACAATGAGTTTAAAACTAAAGCTATATAAGCTTCATAACATGGAGCTGTCATATTCTAATTTATATAAGATACCTAATATAACTCCCAAAGTATGGCAACTATTCTCTCAATTTTTTAAAATGAATTTGTATTTTTTTCATAATTGTCCCAGGGGCTTCTGAAATTTATTCAGTTTAATAATTTTATAGCTTTCCTATAAAATAATAGAGGCAGCTAAGTCCCTATCTGTATAATGAAGATTTCTGGAAGCTACAGAATTATTTTTTTTAATAATTTTTTTATTCTAGAAAAAAACATTTATTTGACATACATTTAAAATAGACACACACACACATATAAAATATATATATACATACACATACATATACACATACACACACACACATTTTATAGTGTATATTGAGCAATGGTTAAATTTTTTTTCTTTATCATTATCATTGACGTGATCTGCCTTGTTACAATAACTCCTTCGTTCTTTTAATGTTTTAATTTCTCTATATAGTAATTAAATGCACGTCTTCTGTCATTTCCATAACTTATCCAAATATCAAATATTACCTTTTCTTTAACCAATCATACCAAATGTTCCATATTTCATAATAGTCACTATCTTGTTTATTTTTTAACAATTTGGTTAGGCTATCCATCTCAGCACATTCATGTATTTTTTTAATTATCATATCCTCTGAAGGAATGAAAGACAGTTTCCAGTTTTGTGTGTAGGTTATTCTGGCCGCAGTATAATGTGCAAAATTAAATATTGATATTTTTTCTCCATGTTTAAATCTATCATACTTAGCAGAAAGATTTCGGGTTCAAGTTTTAAATTTTGTTTTGTTATATTTAAAATCCAATTTCTAATATTCCTCCAAAACTTCTGAGCACATGGGAAAGTCCACCACATGTGAAAATATGTTCCTTGTGCGTAGTTACATTTCCAACAGTTGGGTGGTAGGTTGGGGAACATCTTAGCCAGTCTCGCAGGAGGTAGGTGCCAGCAATGAACCATTTTGTATAAGTTTTCTTTATACGAGACTGACATGGTTAATATGTAATATGTTTGCCAGATGTGTTCCCACTTATCTAATTCAATACTATGATCCACATTTTTAGCCCACATTATCATAGATTCTGTGACTATTTCTTCTTTTAATTTGTAATCCAAAAGATATTTATATGTTTTACTAATTGTTTTCTTTTCCTCTCCTAGCCATATTTTTTAATACATCAGAAAAGTATCAATTTCTTCTCTGGCAGTATTGGCATTTGCAGAAGCAAGGAGCACTGAATGTATTGGTAAAGGCTGATACACAATTTATAAATATCATAAAATATAATATATTATTATCCTGCTATTTTTATTAATATTTTTAAATACCGTGTTTCTCATATAATAAGGCCGGGTCTTATTTTTTTTTGAGCCCTGAAAAAATGGCTAGGCTGTCTTTTCGGGGGTGACTTAATTCCCCACCCTTGCATCTTTGGGCGGGCGGGCAACGACGGCTTGGATGTTGACCTCAGCGTTGGTGGGGCACTTCGTATCGGGGTCAACGCAGGCAGCACCATATCCGGGTGTGCAACAAAAGTACTTCCTAACGGCAAGCCCCCCCACCATTACCCCCCCATTTCGCATGTTTTAATATAGGCCTTAATTTGGGAGGAGGGGCTTAATTTCATTTCATGCCTATAAAACATGCTGGGACTTCCTATTGGGGGAGGCCGTATTGTTGGAGAAACAGGGTATTAAATTTATTAATATTTATCTCCCACCATTTTCTTTTTTATTTTACTTTCTTTGGGATTTTTAAAAGTTAATTTAGATTAAGTTTTCTTTTTCTTTTTTAGCATATAGGTTATTTTTAAAAAGTTACATCCTGGACTGGGCAACTATCAATTACAAGACAGAAATTTATCAACAAAACTCTTCTACTCAAAATAATAACAATAAAAGAACATCCTATTTTTTTTAAAAAAAACTCTGCTTGGAACTGCCTATATTCTTAAATGGTTCTTTAATAATTCTTAGGTCCTTGATTTATTAAGCTTCCACCAAGCTTATGACTGTGACTCTAACTGCAGATTACATACATGTAAGCACCACATGAACACATTAGCAATGACAAAATCACTATCAGTCAATTGCCAAAAATAGCTTTACTTTGAACAGCTTGTATCCTGCGACATTACCTTTAACACCACGAAACTACACATGCCTACTCCAGACCCTTAGGAAGGACTCAACAGGTCGATTAAAATGTCAAAAACAATCTAAATAAATGGCTGATCGACCAGAATAAATAAACACAATATTTATTGATCCTGTCTTTAATATTTTTGTAAATAACTCCTATTTTCCTCACAACAACCCTGTGAGGTGAGTAGGGTGAGAAAAAATGACTTTCCCAAAACCACCTATGCCTAAGACTAGAACGAACTGTCCTGGTTTCTAGCCTGGTGCCTTAACCATTAGATCAAAACTGGCTCTATTAGAACAATTAAGGTTATGACAATATTTTTTGCAATTATCGTCATTTTTGTAACAACCCAAATACAGTATCACAATAGCAAGCCTTTTTCAGAGAAACAATCCCAAAATTACATGTTTGCGCCCATGATTATTCACATATTATAGTGGATGTAAGATGCTTACTGTTTGGTGGCCCTGTTGCTTGGTAAGGTGGATAGGAAGCTGAAATGGTTGGTCGAGAAAACACGGGAGGTTCCTCTCCAAACACCACAATCATAACTTGAATCAGTCCTATCAAATCTGATTGTGGCTGGAAATTAAAGCAGAGAAGACAGTTACTTTTTTTCTTCCACAAAAATAGTTGGGTTGCTCACTATCTGTACCGACAGATTCATCATCTCATCAGTTGCTGAAAATTAGCTGGTTATCCTTTTCTTCTATGCTAAGATTTCACTTATCTTAGTTGTCATTCAATTAACAGAAGCTGTCAAAACTGAAAAAATAGCATATCATAAGGAACAGGCTTCATGATACTGTGAATTCTCATCAATGAATTATACTAATTACAGGCAATAACAATAGTTATTTCAGTTGCAAATCTTAATAACCCTAAAGGAAACATTGCATTGTTAATATTTAAACTTTGTAAGATTCTAATATTATATATTCAGCAAAGCCCCAAGTGTCCAAGTTCATTTTCCTATTATATTAAACAGCCAGAGAAATATAAAATGAAATTAATATTTATATCTCAAAACAGTTTATTATCAATGCTTAAAAACCTTAAGATTACACTTACATGTTTCCATTCATGTAGATATGGAAGATATATCCTGCCATTTGCATCAACATGCTTCCCAGTTTTAATTGTCATCGAACTAGTTGGCTTAACAAAACAGATTGGGGGATTGAATGGATATGTATCCAGTAGCCACAGGCATATTGGGATGTTGTAAATGTTGCCTAAAGAGATTTTTTAAAATGATGTTATATATCCTTGTTGATAATAAATGGTTCTGTGATAAAATACTGAGGTGGCATAGTTGTTACTACAATATATTTAAGTGCATAGGAATGGTCTTGAAACACAAAACTGAAGTATTTTTATAAGCACATACAACATGGCTTTGGAAATTAATAAACAAGGTATTAGGAAGACAAGTCCATTATCCTAAGCATCTGATAATTAGTTACACCGTATATAACCATTTTCCTCAATTTTGTCTACTGTTGATATTGGTGGCCTTATTTGCATTTTATCACACTGAATCTTCTAATCCTTCTCAGCTCTCAGAAACCAAAATAAACATTTTAAGGGTTCACCACCCCTCCCCACTTTCCATTATCTGTTCCAGACAGATGATGAAGAGCCAAAATTTTTGAGGAGCTAGTTCCAAGTGGATGAAGATGAGAAGTGGGGGGGGGATGTTATTTACACACAATGGCTGGGAGTTCTGGGAAACTAAGTATAAGCATGCAACCTGTTCTAGAAGAGTTGACTTCTATTTAAACACTGAACCTGCATCAGATTGCTTGTAGAGAATCAAAGGAATAGGTCCTAATGTCTTTTGTAAACATGTCCCTGAAAACTGGAATTGTTAGAATTGGTTCACAGCAGCAACATCATATGACATAGCTAACTTTAGTCATACAAATCTAAAACAGATAGCTACATCCAATGTATATCATAAGCCTTTTGGGACGTCCATTTCTATGAATTATATATGGGCAATTTTTTAATCCAATCTGATTGAATGTAATTTCCCCATATTGTCTGTCCCCTGTTTTCTGCTGATCAGTCATCTGAAGCCAGTGAATGTTCTGGGAGATTGAGATTACTTTTTTTAAAAAAAGTTAAGTCTTGATACTGATATCTCAACCCAATCTTCCCTACCTACCTAACAACTCTCCCATATTGATCTGCACAGAAATGCTCACGCACCTTCCCCAACCTGCACAATACCACATGCACCCCCTTGCACCCTCCTTGACCCAGCCTCTTGCTCAATTGACCACAAATTCCACAAATTTCACTCTCATTGGTCCTGGGATTCTGTAAGTTAGATATCTTTTGTTCCAAAACTGTTGTCCTATGATGCACAGTTTTGCCCGATTGAAGGTTACAAACAGACAAGGGAGTTTTAGTAATATATAAATATCTTAAGATTCTGCCAATCTTAAATTTGCAAGCTTCGCAAAATGACTTTTTTCTAGGAATTTCAAAGAATCAAGGTAGCAATTTTAAACAATGAGGGATTTTTTTTTTCAGGCTTCTGGAAGACAAAGAGCCCCAACTACATGTATCTCATACAATACAAAACAAACTCATCTTTTAATGCATCATTAATCCATATTAGAGAAATGAGATATATCACAACTATTATTAAATTATTTGCAGTGGCACATCTTTTTCATAGAACACAATTAAATCTAACCCAAATTCCCAAGGACATTGTTCTAAATGGTATAATGTATCCCAAATATGATATTCTACATTGACAGAGGCTTCAACAAGGTGGTTCAACCAGGACTTGAATTATTTAACTCACCACTTGGCTTCTAAAACTTGCATTATTAATTCTCCTGGCAAAAGCAAATAGAAATCAAACTGCTGCAGTAATGGCTGTTCCTTGGGCTATGAAAGACAGAGCTTAGGATAAATGTCTTAGATAAAGCTGAAGCCAGCAGAATTCCTGCTCTCATTCCTCTAGACAACAGTGTTTCTGAACTAGCTAAATACACAGATGACTTTATGATTTCTACATTCTGAAGTGTACTGATGCTTTTGTGTTTTGGTATCCAACTCACAGCTATCTTGGAAAGGAGTTATGATATAAGAACCTGCTCCTATGAAACGGAAGTAGTGAAATCTCTGGTCCAAGTCGTCTTATACTCTTATCATTGCAGAAAGTCAATACAGATTAAGAGCACATTATGAACAAACTCTCCCAGGTGAACTGACAAATTCTGTGTTCAACATCTGATCAGGATTCAGAGATAATATCGTCAAGTTCACCATAGCAACTAGCAGAGTATGCCAGCAGTTATAAGCAATCAGATTTCTTTTGCCACGAAAGCTCAAAACTTCTTTGTAATAGGGTTTTACTCACAATTCCTGACATTTCTCGTCAGCTGTCATTGAGCTTCTTCTGCTATGTTAGTGCTAAATGAAGTGTAACACATTTATTTTAATGCTACTGCATTGCTAACTATATTGGTACCTGAGAGCATCATGACAGACAGATATGCAGAGGTTATGCAAAGCATTCAAATGAGATGCTTCATAATGTGTGGGAGCATGGAATATAGGGTGTGTCAAATTTTTCACCTTTTAATTTCCAAACATTAGGGGTGCTCAAAAGTTGTGACAGAGCTTGGGGATTGTAAATATATTTTGGTTACTTTAATATAATTTAGAGATGCTTGTTAAATAACTACATAAATATTATAATTTTTTAACATTTTGTTTTGTTTCATTTGACAGGTTCAGCTGTCTTTCACTTTTTGTTAAACATTATTTTGTCTGAGAGTATTTATACCGCTGGCGTCGTTTTCTGTTAGTGTGATAACTAATCTGTAATGGTTCTAAACAAACTGGACTGGAATCATTCACTCATATAAGCAACCTAATTGGGACTGGCAAAGACTTGTTGCTGTCTGAGCTCCCAACACTGCGAGACATTCTCAGATATGGCCTATTGTTAAGAGAACGAAGTAGTGATGATGCTAGAAACTACCCTGCAGCCAGTCTTGCAAGAGATATATCCAAAACTGTTTGAAAAGTGGGAACGAGTGAACAGTTCTTTTATGTTGTAAATTCACGAGTGACAATTTGAACAAGATCTAAGAAAGCTGGGATCAAGCCAAAAACATATCTCTTCTTAGAGGAAAGCTAGATGTCAAAGAAACTTTTACTGTGAAACTTGACAAACGGACATCTTCAACTGCAAGTGTCAAATTGTTCTATGTGCTGAATTTGGCTGCCCTGCTGGTTGAATAAAAGAAGCTCACATTAACTGTACCTGCTCTAAAGGAGACAAAGATACCACTGAAGGAACTTACTTTCGTTAAAGATCAGAGAAACAAGATTGGTTCTTTCAGATCGCACCAGATTGGTTTTCCAGATGTGCCAAAAGACAAAAGCGGTAAGACAAAGAGAGACAAAGACTTGCTAAATATAAGCAGAGAAACATTCCAGACATTTTGATATTGACAAACGAAGTAATTATGATGAAAATGAAGGACAGATGACTGATGATGAAGTGGAATGTTATGGAAGTTATGAAGAGGCCTTCTTCAAAATAAAAGACAGAATACAATAGATTAGAAATTACAAATGTCACTATGCAGAGCCTAAGATATGGTGTTGGTATACATGCCACTGCTGCAATTACCACAGCCGCCTGAAGAAGCTGATCACCGAAGAAAAGAGACTTGTAGTTGACCGCAATAAAATCAAGAGAACCCAAGAAAAAATTATGAAGTTCCTAGATCAAGAATTTGATAAGCTCTATAGGAAGGGCAATATAAATGCATATATGGCTGTATAGATGCAACTAAAGTTATGCTGAAAGCAAACAATTCAGACCAGCAATTCCCCACTACCATCAAAGAACATTATTCTGTGTGCAGTGAGCCGGGTGGAAGATATCTTTATCATTTCACTCCAGAGAAAAGATCAAAACCAGGAAGACCTGCTCGAGTGATTGCAGATAATATGGTGTATTATATGAAGAAAGGCATTGACAAAAGCTTGAAGGCCATTGGAGGAGATTCTGCAAATGTTAATACTAGCTGTGAAGGTGGTGCCAAGCTTGACCAGAAGTTGCACTTCACGCAAATGAATTACCCCTACAACACTTAATCACAAAATTGGATGAGAATTTTACCTGCCCATTTGTCTAACAACAAATGGGCAGGTAAAATTGGCAACATGCTAGACACTGCAACGGAACTTGACATTCATCCTTCATTCACCAGAGTTTCAATTGGTGAGCCTGTCATTTCACTGAGCAACAATGTTGTGAAAGATCTCTGTACTGATCAAGCGTATGGATATAGGATCACACAGGCAATAAGGATAGGAGAACGTCCCACAGATCTGGCTCTTCTGGAAATTGGACCAGTAAGCCATTCACGCTGTTTGACAATTGCAAATAGGTTTTGCCGAAAATGGGTTTCAAAGATGGCTTTAAAGGCAAAACTCTCCAAAACTTAAGAATGATAGTTGAATACATTGTTGGTGTATACTACCCTTGCTGCTTCAACATCAAAGTAAAACATTCCTGGATTGAAGGCTCACAGCCTGCGTTGATCCAGCTGCAGCAAGTCAGACTGCAAAACAAGGTTGTAGTAGATACTGTTTTGCCAACCATTCAGCGCTCAGCATGTTAACACTTTCACTGAAATGATAAGCCAGACATTCTTGTGTTCAGATGACATTAAAGAGAGGAGAGCTGGCTGACTTGAGGGGTGCAGACAATGACGTGCTGGGAGATGTTTCTGTACGTGCAAGGAAAATGCAAAAAATCAACACCAGAGCATCGATTCTGCTGGAGCTGATTGACTAGTCTGAAGGTGTATATGAGCCACCTCTGATGTGCAAACTGACTACAGCAGAAATAAAGAAGTTCACTGACGAACCAATGCAAGTACCACAATGGTCCTGTCATGCCCAATCAATAAAGAGATGTGTGAAACAGGTCACAGAGGCAGAAAACAGAGTGTATACATATGAGAAAAATGATGGTTATATCAGTGGCAAAGAAGCAAGTTGGCAGCTGATGTCAAAGAACAAATCAAAACAAGTCTTGATGAAGCTCACCTAAACATTTTTGTAACTCAGATAATTGTTTTCTGATGTTGGTTTATGATTGTATGGATTATTTTTTGTTTAGCTAGATAAGATTCACACAGAAAAAAAACTTACAAAGTTAACAGTATTAGGGCTACAAGAGACTTTTGTGGGGTATATGATCAGACATGGATTTACCATATCAAGCTAAATGTTGTGCAATTGCAAAAATAACATTTGAATCCTTGGTGTAAAAACACTTGTTTTTAGAAACTCATGGAAAAAAATTGCAAAAAATAATTTTCACCCCATTAAATGACACACCCTAAATTGGATAATATGTCTTTGAATCACCATCAGCCTCATCTTTTGAACAACATGAGAAGCTCCTTCTAGCTGATTCTTTGGGTATGCACATGCATAGCTACTTTGCTTTCAAACCATCTCATTCAAATGCTTTGTATAGTTATGTTATAGAGGCTTGTATCTACCTGGACTTTGCCAACTCTGTTCCAAAGTCATGCCACCTAACCACATGAGAAGAGATAGGAAATTATAAATTGTTTTGCTTTGAGATGGTAATTTTTAGATTGCAATATGTGTTTTAGTTTTGCTTTCATTGTTCTGATTTAAAGCAAGGTATCCGAAATACACAAACTAAATACAATGTTACAAAATGAAGGATACAGTTCATGGTAGTCTTCAGCTTATGACCATAACCGAGTCCAGAATTACAGCTATAAGTCATGGCAGATGTTAAGCAGGATTTTACTACCTTTTTTTGCACTGGTCATTAAGTGAACACCATGGTTATTAAAATCCATTTTAGCCAGAAAGTGGCAAAAATTGCCAAAAATCAGGACACTGCAAAAGTCTGTAAATGCAAGTCAATTGCCTAGCACCGAAATATAATTATGTGACTGCAGTGCACGCATGCGCATGTGGCCATCAGAATTCCAGAACTGAATTATTATACCTTTTTTTTTGGGGGGGTGTCCATTTTAACTCTGAATAATTGCTAAACGACTGATCATTAAGCGAGGACTACCTGTACAGAAACAGTGGTTTCAAATAATCTATGCAAACAGTTCAAAATACATACATACCTCTGTAATTTACAGGAATGGTTCCAGTAAGGCTCATCAATTCTCTTGATGAACCATCATTAAAAACTGAAAAGAAGCATTGATTTATTCAATATACAGATCACAGACGTTGAACACCTTAACAAAAATAAGCATATCAACTAAGTATCAATACTTCATTCTGACCAGAAATAAGCACATCTTCTAAGAAAATAAATTCTGTACGGTGTAAAGTGTTTGGCATGTCATTTTGTGCCTTTTATAGATAGCCATGATTTTTTCACTATAGATTCTATGACAAATGCAGTTTGCCAGATACTGCAACTCAAGAAAATTATACTCTTTTTAAATGAATTGGTTATACAAATTTTCAAAACAGACATCAAGTGAAAATAATATGTGGTCTAAATGAAGAATATATTATTAATTTCTACCTTACTTGAATATTTTCTTCCTCAAATGATTGACTACTAGTATTTCTACCAATAGAAATAATGACTACTGGATTAGAAAGCAAAACAAGATTGTGTGTTAGCTTTATGACCTGACGTCACTCACTAAAATAAATTAATTATGAGGCAATCACATAATCTTGTTTTACTTCCTCAGTACAGGTAGTCTCACTTAACAACCACAATTAGAACCAGCAACTCCATTGTAAGTGATAGTTAAGTAAAACATCATGTGACTATACCTGGCTTACAATGTAAGTTATATTGTGGTTATTAAGAGAATCATCAAGTGATTGCAACTTGTGAGTTCATTGTAGCTCCTCCTCCGCTATGGCCATAGGTTTGAGGAACAATTTTAAATCGCTTTTTCAGTGCTGTTGTACAAATTGTTCTTGACCTATGAGCATTCATTTAATGACTTTTCAAAATTATGATGGTGCTGAAAAAAGTGACTTCTGACTAGTCTTCTCACTATTATCTTGATGTCCCTATGGTCACATGATTGCAATTTAGATCTTGACACCTGGTATATATTTATGGTGGCTGCAGTCTCCTACAGTCACGATTGTGATTTGCATGTTTCCATCTGGCTTCCAAAAAGCAAAGTCAATGGGAAAGGTTGCAAATCAAGATCACTTGTCTTCTTAATGACTGCAATGATGCACTTAACAATGGCAAAACAGGTATAAAATTGGGTGCAGTCACATGATTCCTTACCTAATGACTGCATGACTTCAACAATGAATTTTCCAATTACAATTGTGGTTGTATGTCAAGGATTAACTTTAACTATGAGTTGTCACTAAACAGGCTAGTTGTTAAATGAGGAATACTCAGTAAAACTATTTCCTTGCAATGCAATAAATTGACTAGATATTACTGTATAATAGCTGAATGTTGACAAAAAACATACTGCAAAAATACAGAAAACAGCAATTTACCATAGTTATCCATAACAGGTTTGAGATCTTTGTACTGGGCAGTAACATTGGCAGTTTCCTGAACAGCCAAGTCTCTGTACTTGTACTAGAGAAAAAGAAAAATAATGTTTTTAAACACTTCTAACAGCAAACTATAGTTTACTAATGTTTGGAATCTTCAACTGCAGGTTATGACATATGAAGTTCTATGATCACAATGCATTTTACCTTAAACATGTTTACCTGTGAAATTGTTCTATTGGATTATCAACAGGAATTGCAAAGCAAGCATGATTAATTGGGACAGTTATAACTGTATCTCATGATAGAAATGTGAAATTAGAATGACCCGATTCCATGTTATGTATATCAAAGTCCAGAAAGTAAAGGCATTTCCCAATGAATCAACATTAGGAAAATCACATAGCAATTACATAACATGTAAGTAAATCAAGAGTTAAGTACTTAGGATAGTCCAGAAGTTTCTGAATTCTCAGCACCCCTTACCACTATACATTCCTGTTTCGTGCTGGAAAAGGAGTCTGAAGATATCTGGAGGACCATAGACTTCCAATCTTTAAAGTGGAAGGATATGGGCTTCATCCAATGGTACCATTCCACATAGAGGAATAGCTTCTACCACTTGAGCCTATTATTTCTTTCCTGCATTCTTCATAATTACTTTGGAGAGCTGGATGATTTGCAGGAAAGAAAATGTGGGGATAGAAATAAGAAAAACTCCAGCTACAAGAGCAGAATTGTACTTTCATAACATCAGAAACAGTATATACACAAAACACATACAGAAATCATTGGACAAGTCAGCTGACTGAGGAGATAGACAGCAAGCTATAAATACCATTTCCTGGCAAACCTGTCAGTCTGTTTCCTTAATATCACTGATTATGGGATAACAAATATTAAAACAATTTAAAACTTATTTAATTCTGCTTAGTCCTCAAATATAAGTGTGTGTTTGCAAACACACACATATAAGTTACCTTATGGTTTACAAAATTATCCACAATTTTTTTAAAAAGTTGATAAACATCTTCTACGTACAATATGCAACAATTGCATTAGATACATTTATCTGCCAACCCTTCAAGATGATGCATTATTCACAACGTCAAGATGCCAAAATGACAATATTCATGTTCTGACATCTAATACAAGTGAGTTGCAGCATTCACATGATGATGCTATTTGCATGCATTGTCATTTGACCTTCTCAACCTACATTGAAATGGCATATAAGGATTTTTATATGCTACCACATCCAGGTGACAGAGAGTGCACATAAAAGGCAGAAAATCAAAAAGGGGGAAATCCTCAGATATTAAAAAAAAAAAAACATTTATTAAAGTGTAAGAGAAGCCTAAAAGCAGCGATTCTTGTACCAAATTCATCTTTCAAATGCGTGAAAAAATTAATTTCTTTAGAAAGTATATTTCTACTTCCTTGTATTTCTTTAAGTTAAGCCCTACTATGTAGCTATTTTTTAAAAAAATAATAATAATAATAGAAAATAAGGAGTGACTAATTGTAAAATGTTCTGGGGGGGGGAAAGGAAACAAAACAAAACAAGAGGAGACTAACCAAAAACTTGGAAAAGGCAAACCAAGCAAAGGGTTACAGAGAAAGACCAGTGGCTTTGTATTTGTCCTGAATGCAAAGACAATTTATTGCAGGCAAAACCAACAGAATATACAAGCCTACCAAATAGTTTTCTATATTCACTTTCAAATAAAAGGAGGGACTTCAAACTTCCTGTAACTTGGTACAATCTAATGGGGGGGGGGAGAGGAATTACTCCAAGACTTCAGACACCAATTCAGCTCACATCTCTTTCTCCTGAGATAGCTAGTCTCCAGCACCCAATAACACAAGGCTATCTGAGAACTAAGAAGGAGGTAACGATGTACAGAGGGAGCACTTGTTCTCTTTCCAGGACTGTGGAATAAGTTTCAGGCTTTCTCCCAATAAGGACTACTACTCGGGGAAGAGAACTACCGGCCTGCAGAAATTCAGTTTTTATTTTAAGGCCCAACTTATCAAGTCAGGGATGCAAGGACGGAGAACCAGAAGACTCCAAGAAGCCTTGTGTGTTTGGGAGAACAAATGTCTGATTTCAAGATTTAACGGCTGGCTTGCAGGAGATTCCTCTTCAAATAGGAAGCAAGAGTTTTCAAAAATTATGGACCATTTATGGTTAGATGGGGGCTCGCTGGAAATTCCAGTCATTGGCGATTAGAAAATGTCCTGTAATTATAGCTTCCTGGACCACCAGGGATGAGAGGAAACGGACTTGGATTATTTATTTATGTTTAGGCTATTCATGTTGAATTTGGAGCTGACTGTTGGGATAGGCAGGCGCCCAAAGGTTCAGCCACTGTTTATTTGTGAGTGCGAAAGTTGGTCTCTGACGAGGAAGAGGCAAACACCGTCAGTTCATGAGGGGGAGAAAAAAGTGAAAGGCGAACGGGCTCGGAAGGACCCCTTTTCCCCCAGAGGGAAGACGTCTTGGCTTTTGGCTCTACCGTTGCCCCACCACCACCACCACCAAAAAAAGGCCGGGCAGAGAGGCCTTCAAAGAGGGCGACTGGGCTGAGCCGACTCAAAGGCTGTTTAGAGAAGGGACGCTTCAGGAGCAGGCAGGCTTTTACCTTAGTAAGCATTTTCTTCAGCTGACTCTCGGACAAGGCCATGGCGGCGGTCCCTCTCTCGGTCGCGCTACCTTCTACGACCTCCACCCGCTACTCTCAACTCCCGGACGAAAAAGCTCCGCTTCCGACAGCCTCCGCGATCCGTTTCCGCTCGGCGGTATCGCAAAACGTCACTTCCGGCGGTTAACTGCTCTC